GCATGGCAAGTTTAAGGTCAGTTTATCGTGTGATAGGCAAGCCATATGCAACTCCATCCCGATCCCGTTCCCCTACAAGTCGCACAGTCCAACTCCAGCTCCGAATTGCGGCGAGGTTGGGGCCATGGCTGCGGCTCAATAAAACAGCATGCAAATATAAAATACACACACACATACACCCAGAGAAGGAGCGAGAGGGAGAGGGAGAGAGAGAGAGAGAGCCAATAAACCATAGAAAAGCAGGCAACAACACGAGAGCAAATTGAAACTAATCGAGTTTCGGCCAAAAGGCAGCTGCCATAAACATAAAAAATAAAATAAATACAAGTCAGAATCTAAGCAAAGTTTGCAGAGATTGCGATTGGAATAAAAATCACTTTGAATATCGCATAGGTGTGGTCCTAATTACCGATATTAAAGCGGATCTATTTCATCTGGTTGCAGACTCCGACTGCTGCGATTCAATTCGCTGCGATTCATTTCGATTTGATTTGCCACGAGTCCGGTCCGGTCCAGCCCGGTCCGGTCCGGTCCCGGCTCGCTTCAGTTCGTTTCGGTCCGGTCCGGACATGGAAATCAATATGTTAGAGCTCTGGGGGTGCTTTATGGAGGCCCACCGCCAATTGGCGGTGTAAATCTGTTAGAGCCAGCCCAAACGGCACAATCAAAGTAGAGTTCTGCAAATGCAGATGGTAAAATTTGTGCTAATAGCATCAAATGTCTGTAATTTCACTGTGTGCCATTCAATATGCCATTGGTCGAAAGGAGCGCCACGGGTCGGGCATAGGCATAGGCTGTGCTCTGGCCTCTTGTCTGGGGTGGTTCTTATCAAGGCCAGCTGGCGGGTAACCAGATAACCAAGCCCTTGTTTTAATTAAATAGCTGCACATAAAATACAATACACTTAAGCGGAGACTTAAAGAGAAGCTGAGCAGGAAGTGGTCGCCATCAAAGTGTTTCTGGCTCTTGCCTACTTTCGTTGTATCAATTTCACTTGGCCCAATGCCTCCACAATGGCCCATCAGTGTCAGCCTGTCAGTCAGTGAGTCAGTCAGGCAGTCTGGCGGTCAATCCGACTGTCAAAACGCACGCCTATTCATAAGTTGGGCTTAGCATTTAAGGCTCAATTATGGCGCACTTAATGAACTCATCTCCCGGACAGCGCATCAAACAATAACTGCGAAAACTGTCAAAATATTTTCTATCAAATCAAATTGGAGCACCCGTGATGAGGCGTGGGCGGGACTTTATCTCTTGGGTATGCTCTCTGTATGAGCATAAAAGAAAGCAATTAACAATTACAATTTGATCGTTTACCATCTGGTGGGGGAATACTTAACCGGCAAACCATTAGCTAAGTCGACACTAATCCAACAATTGAAACTACTTTCAAATGTTCATCGAGCTCTCTTTGGAGGGAATATTTATACCAAAGTTGTGGCTTTTGATATAAAGTGGATCTTCTCGAGCAAGCAGACACGTTTTGTCTCAGAGAAATTATATGTGAAGAAGATTTTCCAGTCCACTGTGTGAGAGTGAGTTCAAACAGATTTTTAGAATAATTTCTCTGTTCCGCTGAGAAGTAATCTTATGCAATCTAATTTTTGCCTGCTTATTCTTGCATTTTTCTTGCTCAAGCGTCTGATTCATTTGGTTCCCATCTCGGTACCGGCTCAATGACTCTCACCTTGATCTTGGTGCATGACTGGAAGTAGATTCATATACATGTGCACATAAATATGTATTTATTTGTATAAATAACACACCCAGGTTCCTGGTCGACAGCCGGCCAAGCCGTGTGTGTGTGCTACTATGCATAGAATTACGAGAACGAGAACGAGTACGAGTATTATCGGAGGTACGGTATGGGATACACATATGGATTTTACCGTTTTAGGCATTCGGTCTAATTGATTGTTTGTGGTTGCCGGCCGCCACCTACTGACCTTCACATTGAGCAGTGTCAGGCGACAGCGGACAGTATCCGCAAGTCGATCGGTCGCTAGGTCCGTCGATCCATTGGACTGGCAGACAGACGTCTCGCCGTCTAGCTCGTGCTCGGTGTCGGGGAGTCGGGACCGGAGCGGACCGGATCGCTTGGATCGTACCGGGGCTGGTCCAAGATCTGGTCTCTAGCATTGGGGAACAAAAATCTGATACGACCACACAATGGGCGCGTTAGATTGCTAATCGATTTGCTGCTCATTCGCTTTTTATTACGTATTCAAACTGGTGCAATTACCACTTGGAACTCGTATGCCATAAAAGTGGGTGTGGTCCCAACGCGAACCCCTCCCCCCCACAGCCACTGCTTCAGCCGTAGTATTAGTTTTTCTTTTTTGCTAAATTGTCTTGCGATGATAATTATAAATGTTTCTACAAAGTGGACACGATCGGAATCGGAGGTTTTTCTACTGCTCTTGTTATAAAGCAATGGAAATTTCTCCGGGTCTTGAATTACGTGCCGGATTTGGAGTGCGACAGCCAGCCATCAACCTGCGGATCGGATCGGATCGGTTCGGTTGGGCGAGGGTAACTCGAAACCTTCTTTCACAATGATTTTTCATTCAGTTATTTGCCCTGCCTTGCCACGCCATGCCACGCCATGGAATACCTTGGTATGCAGATATTTGCAACCATCGCAGAGCAACCGCAGTGGGCAAACACTTGCTGCCTGGTTGGCTACCGGGTCTGGGACTCTGTCCAGTTATCTCTCTCTCTCTCTCTCTCTCTCTCTCTCTCTGTCTCTCTCTGGGCCGCGTCTTGCCAATCACTCAATCAAAACGTCACTTGGCGTGGCAGTTTTGCGTGGCGTTTGCTGGAAATTGAAATAGAAACGTCAGAATTTCTGCTCTAATTATAAGGCGGTATGTTTTACGTACTAGCCAAGTTTCTTGACTCCTCCGGTCCGATTGTCCATTTGTCCGTTTGTCTATGTTTTTTCTGTTTCTTTTTTTCCCCTCAATGAGTATTTTTTTGCAGTTTTTGCTGTTTTGTTTTACAGTCTGCGCTTTGGCTTTGGCTTCCATCCGTCTCAGTGTCTGTCTGTGGCTGTGCCAGTGTCTGTTGCAAGAAAGATTATGCTTTGATGCACTCACGTTAAGCTCACTTTACAGTTACAATTATTGTTTAATATCGTGTAGCCGCAGAAGACCCTAGAGACCCGCTCGGCCGGCATTTGCAACACTTGCCGCACTTTGTTGCAATAGGAGCTGGAGCTGGAGCTGGAGCTGTAGCTGGAGCTGAAGCCAGAGCCGCTGCTACTGGGCTAAAATTTCATTTACAATTATTATGCATTAATTGCGGGTGGGACGATGAGTCTCATATGTCTCTCAAAACTCATATGTCCGATATGCTGAACCTGCTGGAACCACTGCAGCCACAGTGGTCCACCCATGGGTCAGTTTCCCAATCGTAAAGACCACAAGGAAAAGCACAAAACGCAAATTGTTTTAGATTGCCCAAAGCGGCGAATTATTTGCAGTATGTTGCCAAGTTTTGTGTCGCTGCTGATTATATAAATCGGTGCAGAAATTGCCTGTAAAATCAGCTGCCTGTTGGCACCCCTGCAAACCCCTACCTCCCTCTTCCAGCATCTATCTAACTATCTGTCCTCACTCTAATGCACGACACGTCGGTGGCAGCCTCTGGTCAATTGTCTGCCGCACATTTGCTGGGCACGTGATTGTTGTCAGGTGGAGCCTGCTACAGCAGTGGCAGGCTATTTCTGGTGCTCTTTGGGTATTTTCAACATGTGTACAAGCCGACTGCAGTCTCTTGTTTTGCTTTGAACTAACTTGAAAGTAGAAGGAGATTCGTGTCAAGAAAGGCTGGATAATATAACAATATTCTTTTGAGTATTTTCTGTAGAAGAAACTATTTCTTTGGGTAACAAATTAGGGTAAATTTGAGTTTATGCTGCCAGTTCCCTTCCTCTCTGACCCAACCCGATTAAACTTGCATCAACTGCCAGTTTCGGGCCCAAATCAACGTTTTACGGTGTTGCAGTTGCAGTTGCTTGCTGCAATCCGCTGCTTGAAATCCGAAAAAAAAAACTATTTTCGCGCTTTGCGAGCGTGTCAAAGAATTGGTCATTGTTTGTAATTATGAAAATTGCTTAATTGTTGCCTAACTCCCGGTGGCAGTGGCAGCAGCAACAGCAACAACAATTGCACTTGCAGCGTGGCAAAAATTTGGCCAGACATTTGTGTTCGTTGTTGTTGTTGTTGCTGCTTAAGTGGCAAGGCTTAATTGTTAATAATTTGTGTTATAATTCTGGCGCAGAGTGGCAAATTCTGTTGCTAAATTATTAATTGCAATAATATTTAGCTGCAATCTTTTGGGTGTATCTGCATATATTTTCGATATAGTTTTCTGCTTTGTGTGTAGAGTTCCTTGGCCTGCCAGTGGGCTGCGCCCAGTTTTTTTCCTCTGTTTATTGCCGCTTGACTAAGCAAACTTATAAACTAAGCGAACATACAGCCATAGGATACCTACACAGACATCATATGTATGTGAGTGTGTTTATAGTCCAGTTTTCTGGTTGTTTTATGACCCAGTCGTACGGACAAACGAAACAGAAATGAAGCAAAAAAAATTGGTTTTTAATTATTATTATTGTTAATGCTGCAGTAACTGTTATTTTTGTTGCTATTTCCAAGGAATGCCCCCCGCCCTAATGAGCAATTTCAGTTGAAATTCTTGCGAGTGCGCTGCTGCTGCTGCTACTGCTGCTGCTGGCTCGCTTCTGGCCAGCAATTAAACGTTACTCATTCGACCCTGTGGCGGCCGCCCCGCAAATTAAGCCAAATTAAGGCGGCTTATTATGACAAAACAACAACAACAACAGCCAACCTGTAGGGGGATCTGGTTCATTGTGTGTGTGAGTGGCTAAAACAGGTAATTAAAAGTGCTCCCACCTCTGCCGCGACAGTCGCGCTTTTTGTCATATGATTTATAATAAGTAAGTAAGTAAGTTTTGCATAGATTTATTGACTTACTTTGGCTCCCCCAAGCGGAGCAGGAAGAATGCCGTGTGCTGTGCGCAGGAAATGCCAGCCAGTGCACTGCAAATAGTTTCAAAGTGAAAAATCATTAAAGCGATATAATTAATACAAATCAGCACACTTAACATATAAGTACACCCCGGCTATAGATATAAAGATACTCGTACTCCCGTAGTTCGGCTCGGTTCGGTTTCAGCTATTGGCATGCCCGGCACGCAGAGCAATTTCAATTAGACATAAACGCTGGAGGAGCTGCAGCTGGATTCAGACGATGTCTACGATTGCGGCCGAAAGTGTTTAGTTGGCAATTACATAAAATAAGGAGCAACTTCCACCAACATCAACAACATCACCAGCAGCCAACGGTCTTCGGTCTGCCATGTAACGGCCACAGATGCTGTCTCCGTTTACTCTCTTTATGCAATCCACGAATTAACATGTTCCACAGCCAAAAGCCAACGCACAAGTCGCAGCCTGCCTGCCTGCCTGCCTGCCTGCCTACTGCCCAAGATGCTGTCATCAGACACATAGATACAGCCTCAACTGCAACTACATGCACATGTCTGTGTGAGTGTGTGAGTGTGCCTTGCCTTGCTCTGGTTTCAACGGAAAATGCTGGCTGCTGGCTGGGCCTACAGGTGCCTGCCTGGCAACGCCCATTGCGTGTGGTGTGGCCAAAGGCGGCTAGAAGTCCCCCGCCAAGTCCCCCAGTTAAGCGGCAGAGCCAGGCTGCCGAACAAGTGCGTGAGTAGAGCAAACAGAGGCGTGGCCGGGAAGAGGGATCATCCTCATGGCAGGCACATTATTCTGAGCCATTCCTGAACAGTCCCTTCCCCTATTGGCATCTCTGTGCACCTGTCGAGCGCCCCACTGCGCCGCCTGTGTCCTGGCGCCAAAAAAGAAGCGACAACGGGGCGACTGGCGCTAAATGGCTTTCGCCATATAAATGTCTTCATTGCGTATGAGTGATGGGGTAGCCATGGCCATGGCCATACGGCCAACAGCCTCTCGCTCTGCACCATTCCCTCTGTGGCAGACACACGCAGCTCTCTCGGAGTCACCTGTTGACGCATTTGGGTGTTGATTTTTAATTTATGCGCTTTTAATGTGCGAGAAAACATGCATTTAAAGTGAATTTATTATGAATAAAAGCGCAACATTAATTACGATCGGCCGGCCGAGGCGCAACAAAAAAAGAGGGAGCTCTGCCGTGGGACTTTGGGGCAGGTCAGAAGGCTGTTTTTGGGCATATTGCCCAACACGATCTGTCCACATCCTGTATAGATGGAATGAGGGTGAAGACGTGGAGAGCAGTGAGCAGAGGGAGAGGGCGAGGGCGAGGCGGTGCAGAGGCGCACGACTCTGAATCTGAATCTGACTCTGACTCTGACTGACGTTGCAACACTTTGGCACGCATGCGCGGCATTTTAATGCGCAAAGTGCGCTGCTGCCAACAACGAAACACGCAGCACGCCCACTTTTTCTTGGAGCACTGATACATACCATACACCATACAGATCTTGGGGACTTTTAGGAGACACACACACACACACACACACAGACACATACCGTACACACATTTACGCAGGTAGAGTCTGGGAGATTTATTATTGTATAATGCGCCGTACGCAGTTTTATTTATTGCTCTGCACGCCAAAAACTTTAAAATCAATTGAAAAGCTATAAAAACGTTCGTTTATTTTTTATTGTGTGCCGTTGTGGCTGTATTTTTGCTAAGTATTTCAACATTTCTTGCGGCTCGAACTGCTCCAAATTGCCAAAATGGTTTGGTTTTTATATATCTCGCCCGTCTGACTTGCCCAATGGGTTGGACTTGGTCCCCGCTTCGGCGGAAAGGCAATTTAATGGGCCAAAAACAGACTTTTCAGAGCTGAGTTGCTTTAGGTGTATGGATTGATTTCTCACCTATAAAATGCTGGAGAAATCCGACCAGAATTATCTTTAGTATTGAGTTAAGAGTGTTAACAAAGCAGACTCGGACTTCTGTTTGCTCGACTCCATTTACGATCTCAAGACATAAGTATAAACATATGCAGATCTCTGCGGAAAGGCCCCAAATAAGTCCCAACTAATGCCTAATCCTCTGACAATATATGCAAGACGATTCACGTGTCTTTTGTGACTGTCTTTTAACACAGCATTAACCAGATGTCAGGTAAGTAAGAGAGGCGGAAATGCCCAACCTTAGATCGTTTTTTGGCAACTCAACCAACTCCTTTGACCGGGGGAGCTTTGGGAGCTTAAGTTTAACGATCGCTTATTGATATTTCGGCGGAAAGTAGAAGAGCTCTACGAAGTAAAGTGTCAACACTTTTTACCAAAGAATAACACCCATTAGCCGGAGCTAAACGATGGGCCATAAAATGTGACCGTTGGATCGTAAACCACCCAAAAGGTGGCACAAAGTGTAAAGTCATAATTGTACAACTCGTCGGGCATTGATGATGGTTAAGCATAAAAACCATTCACTTTTTGTTGATGCGATGATGTTGGTTATAGGACTGGGGCTGTGCCTCTGGCTGTGTCTGTGTCTGTGTCTGGGGCTATGCCTGAGGATGATTTCAGAGATCCAAACACTCAGTGCCCATAAATAGATGTGAATAAATGTGATTAACGCATCTTTTATACAATTTACACGCATCAAAAGCAATGCAAACTCAAACCCAAAGGCTTGTTCGTTTATCGTTTTTTATGTGTATTTTTTGTTTCTTTCTCATTTGTTATTGGTGTGGTTATTGTTATTTTGTGTGTGTGTTCGTTTCTGTTGGTAAGTGGCCTGCTGCTGGCTCATAAATTGTGGCCAACTGTCGGGTGTATGACGAATAGCTTGTCCATCGCCTGATTGATTTGCATGCGCCGCTGATTGACAAATGGCATCGATATCCACATCAGCATCTGCATCAGCATCAGCATCAGCCCCGGACCTCAAGTGGCTTAATTTATGCAAATGCCAGACTTCAACTCATACGAGTGCACTCGTGGTCGTAGTCGCACTCGTACTTGGAGTCATTCTGCTCTAGAGTGCAGGCTGGGTTTCTATGCACTCTGCATGACAATGGTACGAGTACAATGGGAACCGACCTCTGAGAGAGTGTCCCCGTTGGATCTGTGTATCTCGGGCAGAGACCTGGGCAATTAGGCCCAACTATGAACGCCCTCTGCCAGTCGTCCCATGTTGGGTGTGTGGCGGTGGTGGTGGCGGTGGTGGTGGCGGGGGTTTGTGGTGGTTTTTGTTACAGCTCATTTGCATAAACGTCTCGAGCAGCGACACCTCCAAATGTCATGGGAGTACGGGCCGCACACACCACGCATGAATGGAACCAAGCCAAGACACCGCCCTGTGTGTGGGGTTCCCATGTGTGTGTGTGTGTGTGTGGGGTCTCCTGTGAGTTGTGTCTGATTTATGCCTGGGAGCCTGAGATCGGAACTGAGTTTTGCTCTGCTTTGCATATTGGATAATTTATGAAAGTGGGAAACACTTGGCTGGACCAATCTCAGATCCATATTTCAATTAGAAATCATATAAAAGCTGCAACTGTAAATGGAATAGGACAATGGGACAACCGGAAAAGCATTTTGGAAGTTAATTGGAAAGGGTGGAATATTTAAGAAAGAAAGTTAAGGCGACTTTGAATGAAAAGATTGACTAAGAAAGAAAAGAATTCCTCCACTGGTTTTGGGGGAACTGGATCATATCTCTCTCAACCTAAAGAATTTGAAAAGAAAAGTATTTACAGAAATCAGTTGCATAGAATTTTAATATTAATTTGAAATGTTTCCCTCTTTGGTTGGAAAATCAGCAAACGCTGAAAACAATTTGCCGCTGGATTATCGCCATGATTCTTGGCCCATAAAGTGCGGAAGCCTTTTTGAGGTTGGTCTCGTGTCTGTGTCTGTGTCTGCCCCAAGGACATGGCTTGCAGAGCAAACGAACGGTTAATAAAGCAATCAACAATTGGACTGCAAATCAAATTGGCAGCCGCCGCCTCAGTGCTAAAACCCAGCAAAATGCGCTAAATTAACTAATTTTAGTCTTAAGCCAGCAATAGGCAACTGCAGCAAAAACAAAGCTCCGCTCGAGAGTGGGAAAATAAAATTTGTTGCGCTAACAATGGCTAACAAAATACAGCAAAAAATAAGAAAATGCTGCCAGGCTATGGCTCTGTCAGTGGACATGGCCTGCAATGGTCTGCCTGTTGCTGCTGCAGCCAGAGAGGCAGAGGCAGAGGCAGCGGCAGCTGGGGCAGTGGCTGAAGCTGAAGCTGAAGCGGCAACTCTGGTTGAGTTTTTTGGGCGCAGCCCAGCAGTGAACAGAACTCCACCAGCAGCAGCAGCAGCAGCCCCAGCCCGATCCCGTGTTCGGAGTGACCGTGTATGCCATAACTATTTATGAACAGTTAGTTAACTTAAATGCTAGGTGGCAATTAAAGGGGCGTGGCTGTGGCTTTGGCTATTGTTGTTGCTGCAGCCACCAAGAGGAACAGAGAGACAGAAAGACTGACAGACAGACAGACAGACAGACAGACATCCAGTAGAAATCATAACCTTGCCCGGACTCGGACTCGGACTTCGGCAGTTGGGAATCAATAAGAGCTTCATATAAAGAAACATACGAGTACTCGGTAGCCATATAATTAGCATTTGTTTCCGAGCAGAGCCCGAGCCAAAGACCCAGACCCAGACCCAGACCCAGAGCCATAGTCAGAGTCAGATCGAGGGACTCGCCCTGGTCCACACCCCAAAAAAATAAAGAGAGAGAATAAAAAGCACACACAATAACAGACAATTTGTGGTTTCTTTGTTTCCTGACCGAGTCCCCATATAATGGCCACGTTAGTTGGCCGTTAATTTGGCCAGTCAAATGAGTCGCCGAGGCTTTAATTAACAACAAAAAGGCCACACTCTAATTGATAAATTAAACAAGAAATTCAATTAATATGGACGCTAGCTAAACCTCTGCATAATCCCCACACACAGACGGCTACGAGTACGAGTACGGGAGGTGCCAAGTTGTTAACATAAGCATTGAACTTCGTTGT